GTTATTTGTTGGTCTTACCGTTGTGGTCTACTTTGGAGCTATTCAACTATACTATTCATCCCTCCTGGCATGTGTCCTGAGTCATGTATCCAGTATCCTTGACCAATTACTAAATTCCAAAGAACGCTAAAGCCTTCAAGAGCAATGCCCTGAGTACCCATTTATCTTGTGGCCCAGAAAAATCTGCCTTTTTGGCAAAGAGAGAGACCAAAGGTGACAGTGGTGGTTGTGGTGATGATGATGGTAGCTAACATTTATGTCACGCTTACTATGTATGGAAAGATACTGTGTAGATATTACCTTATTTAATCCATACCACAACTCAATAAGAGGTACTGTTATCCATATTCAATAGATGAAAACAACAGGTCTAGAAAGATTAAGTGGCTTTCCAAAGTCCACATCCCAGTAAACTCATAGAGCCAAATTTGAACACAGGCAGTGTGATTCCAGAATCTACTCTCTGCCACATGATGCAAAGTATCTTGGAGCCAGACAGCGCTGATTTTGAATCTAGCTCAGTCACTATTAACTGTGTGATCTGGGTGACTTGTGGCTATGGTCTGATGTTTGAAAACCCCCAAAATTCATGTTAAAATTCTCACCCAGGCAGTGATGGTATTAAAGGTGGGGACTTTGGGAGATGACTAGGTCATGAGGGTAGAGCCCTCAAGAATTGAAATAGTGCCCTTATAAAAGAGGTCCAATAGAAACCTTCCCCTCTTCATTTATGAGGCTGGAGCAAGAAGATGGCTGTGTGTGCACCAGGGAGTGGGCCACCACCATACACAGAATCTGCCAGTGCCATGAACTTCCCAGCATCCAGAACTGTGAGAAATAAATTTATGTTGTTTACAAGCCAACCAGTCTATGGAATTTTTTATAGCAGTCTGAAGGGACTAAGACACTTGCTCAACTAGAATTTTTCTCATGCAGCCAATTATATATTTTATAAGATTTGGGGAAGATAAAGCCAATTCCTAACCCATAGTTGATACTCATTATGTGCTGGCTCCTTCTCCTTTTGGGGATAACC